AATCGTAACTGTTATTAATATGACTTGAAGCTTGCTAATATGAATGAGCTGTTGGAATATAATATATAAGATTTTGTGTAAGAAGAAAGAAAAGTTATAGAGAGGACTGTCTATCGAAGAGATAATAATTCTAAAGGGATAATCTTAGGGAGAGCATATGCTCTTAATAGTATGCATTCACTATAGTGTTCAAATATTTGTAACATTTCGGTATAATATATTCAAGATCTCTCCACCTATTAAGTAAAATTTCTGAGATTATTAGAAATTTTTCTGGTTGGATCTTTATTAATTTTTTCGTATGTCTCAACATCACATAGCATATCGCTTAATTTGTACAAATCTTTGAACAATGCGACAGTGACATTGCCTTTATCGGCCCTGATAAATATTACATTAGAATTGGCAATTATGAACTTTCTTAATTATTCTTTTGAAATTATTCTTTTCAAAACTGTGTAATATTCTTGTTGTAACGAGGAAAAAAGGAAGAAAGTTTATTGATAATTAAAATTAATCTATTTCTTGCGATGTTTCTAAAATTAGGAACTCTATTGATATTGTTCTCCGTATTCTTTATGGATTCAACAGTTAATTTTTTAGTGTTAGAGTAGTAGTTGGTAGAGAAAAATTTTCTTTCAATTTTACTAGATTTTTAACGTCTTTTGGTATGTTACATGAAGACATGTTTAAAACCATTTGTCTTTAATCGAATTAATTGAGGAGGAGAATGATTGGTTGGAAAGATTTGTCGGGTCAAGAATTTCTTTGACTTCTGACAACGGGCGAATGTGATGGTGATGTTAATGAAAATTCATGAGTGTCTGATATAGTATGTGAAGGTTGATTGTTGTCAGAAAGATTATTTTGTGAATTGTGTTGAGTATTTTTGATAAAATATCGTATAAGATGTATATTATTAAGATCTAGTTTTTCTTATTTTTTGAACAGCCAATCCATTTTTTTGTTAATTCTATTTCATTCATTTTCGAAGAAGAATTTTTTTTGCTTCATCTAAAAAGAATGTTGTCTATAAAAATTTCATGCAATGACTATGATGCAACCTACGTAGGTAACATTAAAAGGGTAAGGTTAAAAATGCAGACAATTAAAAACTAGAATTTCGAAGAAACATAAGAACCATATTCGTAGATGCACAGCTGTACAATCAGTTATAACCGAACATATTATGTTGTATTACGGTCATTGTTCCGGAATGATCATTAATTTGAATATCTTCTCGGCGATGGTAAGCAAACAGCTCATAGACACCAAACCGTCACCGTTCAAAACATGCGGATATTTCGCTCTTGCTCTAATCACGCTATCTATCTCATGGCACGCGACCCCCCTTGCGCGACACTCGAAAAGTTGACGATCGCGCACACGTTCCACGTGTAAAAGTTCAGTTCGCTTCCCGATCCCGGGAATACGAAACGCTTCTTAACCCGAACCTGAAGAGCGAATCACACTGAAGTTCCATCGCATATTACTGCTGCATTTTGTTACCTGACGTTTTCGGTATACGCGTACCGCGAGAGCAGTCAGTGCATGAGAATTACGTGAATCTCCAGCGAGATTTGCCGATCTCGTTGTTGCTCGCAATACACTTTCTTTCGAACGGCTGTAAGAAATTACTCGACGTCGTACCAAATGCGAATTACCTGTGCACGCATCGAACCGAACGCATTAAGTCTTGGCTTACGAGCATCGCTTACCGCCCGCTTCGAATAAATCTTAATTCGAGTCAACAATAAATTCCGAATTGTTACAACAAAGAGAATCGTTGTTATTGACATGCCGCCTTGGCGAGCCTTCCATACAAGGTGACACCAGCGTCACAAATACACAAAGTCAATTTAATTGGGATGAAATTGAAATCTTAGATACTGAATGCAGTTATACAGTAAGTCAAGTAAGAGCGTGGTCGGCCAGCATGATGTTGTACCATTTCATGTTATTAGCCTTGAGATAGGTTCGAATAATTTCGTACGATATATCTAAACCTTTCTGCTTCAATTTTGCTTATCCTTGACGCAGTGTTAAGTCAGGATTCACGCGAAAACAAATTCTATTTTTTTATCGTCTTTTTTGTCCATTTTGCATATCGAGCCACGTTCTGGTAACGTTCTGGTCATCGACATTTTTTGCCACATTATATCGCTGCACCCACTTCTATACGAATGATTTCAACTTTTTCATATATTTAGCAGCCGCTAATTGTGACATTTTTGGATGAGTGCAGAGGAACACTTCATAGCGTGATGCATATTTGGTACTCATGGCGCTTAATGTGATTCTCTTAAGAAAGTTCAATGACAACTGAATCTTCCTTGATAATACATTAAGGATAAAGATGCCCTCTATGGATTCATGATAGATTTAGGACGATATCTTTTATGAGCTTTGAGTAAAGCCGACGACGATCTTACTTGACTTACTGTAACAACAGATTAATGTCAGAGATGATTTACATTAAAAGATATAAAAATGAAATTAATTTTCAAACAGATACAGAATTTTTAGATAAAACATATGTGCACTATATAAGATGAGGATTGCGAAAAAATACGAAGAAATTCTGAAAATTTGTGGTGGGACTATTTCAAAGAAACTTATGGTATTCTTTTATTATACTTGTATCTTGTAATCAACGGTGAACCACTTCTACGTATAGCACATTGTTATTACTGTGTGTGTACCAGACTATGTTACCTTTGAAAACGTCTCACGCTATACACTATTATATTCCAATTCAACAGGATAAGGCGAGATAGTTTATTCAATTTTTATAAAATTTTGTTTATACATTTTATACGTTATGAATTTTTCTAAAGTCTATTTACATGTTTTCTTGTTTTTTTTTTATACAATACATCTTCTCACACATATTCGAAATAATTAGCTACGTCATTGTACAGTGTAAAGTGCGTGTTAGGGTTACCCTAACCCTTTGTGTATACAACGAAATCAGAAAATCCAGACTTATTGCAAAGTTGAAATGTAAGTAGAAATGATTAATTGGATTATTTATGATTTTAATCATGAGTGCACATCATAAAAAAATTATTTAAATCAATTTTATTGTGTTCTTAATATCAGAAAAAACTTCTTGTTCTTCTTCCTTGTTAATGGCAAATGTGCCACAATCCAGTATCCAATGTAGTAAAGAATAGGGATGCATCGGATATCCAGAAAATATCCGATGTCTGGTGTTATTCGGCACTTTTTTACTATCCGACCGGATAGTTGGATATCATTAATATCCGGAAATATATCCAGTTGAAATTTGATCATTAAATTGTTGATTTTTTCTTATACAAATATTTTAGAAATAAGTATGCATATTCATGATGCTATAATATTTTATACATTGTTGCAAAATTGCAATTTCTTTCTATAGGCTATTTTTTAAATATAATTCCTTTCCCTTTAAAGTCGCCATTTTTTAATAAGCTATTTTTATTAATAATTTTATTAATAATTATTGTAATTAATATTAAATCTAATAGTAAATTGTATTAATATTTACCATAGAAGAATGATAGGATCACCTTTTTATTTATTTCTATCAAAATTCAAAGATTTTATGATTCGTTTCCATAAAAATTGTAAAGTAAAAATGAAAAATCGTTCATTTTCACTTTGCAAAAAAAAATATTGTTTGTGAACAAATCGCAAAAACGCTCATAATTTCTTAAAGTTTATTAGCTGTTCATCACTAATAAAATCTTTTTTCATTTATTTTTGACAAAAAGATGAGATTTTGAAAAAATTCTTTTTTTCCGATCCCTTTTCACTTATTGCAAAATATCGTTTGTACTGCGACATTTTAGATTTTCTAATTCAAAAATTCTTTTTTTCGGTCTTCAAACGATAGATTCAAAAAAAATTAATTAAAATCAACTACATCACTACAATCTGAGATACAAGCAAATGAAAACGTGGAGTAACTCTAATGATGGATTCTAATGTGGGTAGATAGAGACTTTTTTGAAGTGTGTGTACTGAGAGTTAAATATATTACTCAACTTTTTAAATTATTTTTGGTTTCCTTTTTTCCTCTTCTATTCAGCGGTTTAGAATTATATGTAATAAGAAGACGCGCGTATTTCCACAAATAAGTTAATCAAATTATTAAAATAAAAATTGAATAATAAAAAGTTGTAATTCTCTATTTCTTTCTGGGTTTCCTCCACAATCATAAAATACTTTTTTTTGCTCCTTTCTGACATCATTTGCTTGTCACGTAACGAGATCTGTTTCTATTTTTACTTATTGGGAACGAGTGAGGACAAATCTTCCCGCTGCAATTAAGAATCTATAATGATAGCAATTCAGTAATATGTATAATTGTATACAGTTCAATAGGTGTTCGATAATTACTCAATAATAATTTCATAATGGTTCGATAATTAAGAACGCTCGTATTTGTAACGGCTATTTGTACATTATTTAAAAAATATGTATTATTAGTTGCTAAATTAAAATCATTGCTAAGTCATATCGTTTAAAACACATATCATAAAACACATATTTACATTGTAAAACAAATATCATATCTATTTAATAAAATTGCGAGAAGAAAAGAGAACGTGGGAGTTGGAGAGAGAGCTCAACGGAAGAAAGAGAGAGTGGGAATACTATGGTAAGTATAGGACGGCAACGTATGGGAAAGAAAGGACTGCATCCTACAATGGGTAGGAGAGGACAATGGGTTAGGAGAACGCAACGGATGAAAGAGAGAGAAGATGAACAAAACTTCTTTTCACCTTCTACTACGGATCCCGGTGCTTTTCCTCCCTCGAACTCAGCGTCTGTGATGCACTTTCCCCTCCCTGACCCTCACACATGCACGCACACACGCACACCGCATATACGTATACGCCCTAATGTATCCTACTATTTCGCTGTATGTTCCCACTTTATTCTCTTTTTTCTTTGAAGAAAGAATTTAAAATTAAACTTTATCTATGTTATTTGGTATCTCATGTTTACAGCATTAACAGTGACGGCTTGTCTCCATTGGATGTTGCTGTCCTTAGCAACAACAGACCGTTGGCAAAAATGTTGGTTGCATTCGGTGCGCAGGAAGGGAATCAATGTAAGTACAATCGAATCCAATTACAAATTGCACGCCGTATAGCGGGAACTTCGTTATGCATGTGATGAATCCCATTGATCTGTACTCCTCTTCCGCTTTCCCACAAAATGTTTTTTTGTCCCTCTTTGTCTTTGCCTTTTTTTCTTTTTGCCTTAAAAAAAATTCAAGAAAATCGAGATTCCCTGCGAGATTCCCCAATTAGAATCCCAATTAGTTTCTAATAAAAATACCGTCAAGCATTATTGCGTTGCGAATAAAAAGCAGGAAGAATGCGAAATACAATAATAAAAGAAAAGAAAAACTGAAACCCTGTCCTGAGCGTGACGTGCTTTTTCTCAACGTTTTTAATATTATTCTTCTTTGTATAGCGAGCTCCGACGTAATTACGATCGAACATGATTCATGTACGCGTTGTAGAGTTGATAACAGTATTTAAATATTTCTCAACGCTCTCTCTCTCTCTCTCTTTTACTATATTCCGTTGAGGAAAAATGTACATACAAGTTGTAAATGCGAGTGATTCTCTTTCATTGAATGCGAATAAATAAGACACTGTGACGGATACCCGAGATTTCTCGTTAATTTTTCATTAATTTTTGTGACGATTGCCGGAGCAATTAAGATTATATCCAAAACATTAAGCCAAATAGACTCACGAAAGAAAACCAGAATCAAATTTCTGGCGAATGCGCTAGAGATTATTGGCGTCATAAGCATCTCTCGATTACATTTCCCCGGGAAAAATTGGAATAAAAATTCAGGAAAATAAATTTCTCTTTATAATGTATTGTCAAGCGAAACCGAAGAATCCTACGTTATAAAATCTTTGTTCGTCTTGAAAGTTCCTAGCGTCTTAATTTGTCCACATTAGTTAGCGCCTTAGCATCGTTAAGATATTCCGAGTTTTTGAAAACAAATATAGTGACAAGAAGGACACTTCTTCGAATTAATTTTCACGAAATATCCATAACCTGACTTGTTTCCAACTTGACTTGACATGTATGACTCCCTTCATGTATTCAATAATTCGACATGTTTTGAGCAATTTCTTGAGCATATGTTTATTAATTTCTGCATCGCAATCGTTCCATGTTGAGAAATAATCACAATTATAATATAGGCTTTACATAAACAAGATTAATCATAGTAGTTTCTCGTAAAAAGAGACAAGATACAAGTAATACAAGATAGTACAGCAACAGTGCAGCATCGATTGCATAAAATATCGAATTAATTAATGTAATAATCATTTGTGAAATAATATGCCGTAATGATCCCTGTTGCAAATTCTTACAAGAAAAATTCTTATTAGATCCTCCAAGAAAATTTTCACATACAAATTTCGCGGACAAACATACAAGATTGTATAAAAATATATCGCATATGATATGTAAGTAAATCAAGAATCTTGCATGAATCTTACACCTATATTACGTATACATGAATCTTATAAGCATATTACATGACTACACATATGTTACATGAATCTTGATTACCTGAATTTTGATTCACATGTAACGTGAATCTTTCAAGAATATAACTGTCATTATGAATATGAGTGTCATGAAAATATTACAAGAATACTATTGGAATTTTGTGTGATTTATTGTTCGTATCCCAGTAAATAAAATGAAATGGGACAAGCAACGAGCTGAATGAGATTTAAAAGAATTCATTTTGGCTAAAAATTAATTCTTTTTATTATTATTTTACAAATTGAATAACGGTTTCTCAACTAAATCAAACTTAATTTGAGAAAGAAATATGAAAAGCCTACACCAGTTATTACAGCGAAGTTCTAATTTATGAATTCATTAAGACAATGATAATATACATTTCAACCTTCTATTCAGTCATATTCAGTACTTTAACATATCTATTTTTAAATTTTTCTAATTCTTTTTTATTTCATATATTTAATCCAGTTTCTGTTCATTCATTAATTCCATTATATTTACTGGGATAATCGATACTTTTATTTTTTTTATTTATATCGATATTTTTTACTTTGGAGCGATCATGTATAAAAATTATTTCTTAAGATTATCTTATTAGGCTAAATTAGCAATTAAAATCTTTTCGTTGCGATATAAATCGTCGTGTACAATTCATATCAGATTCCTGCACCAACTTAAAAAATAAATTATTTTGTAATTGTATGTTTTTTAAGACTAATACATGATCTATCATGTAATACTTAGAAATCATATATAATTAATACCATATTCCTGGATGATCCTGTAAAGAAATTATTTTTTAAGAGTTTCTTATAGGTCAAGGCAAGACCTTTTCATTGCTATATAAATCATCATGTACGATTCATGCCAGACTCTTGTATCAATTTGGAAAATAAATTATTCCGTATCTACATCTCTTAATACTGATAAATGATCTTTCATAAAACACTTTAGAATCATATATAATTAATACCATATTCTTGGATGATCCTGTAAAGAAACTATCTTTTAAAAATTTTTTATATGACTAAGGCAAGATCTTTTCATTGCGATATAAATCATCGTATACAATTCATTCCAAATTCCTAAGGTCATTAATGATTACTGGTGAGATTCATGAACAAATTATATAAGATTCTTATATGATCATGTACGTTCATTTGATAATCTTGATTGATCATATACAACTTTTAAGGATACAAAAAACAAGAATTTTCAACAGGGATCATTCGTCAAAATGTAACTATACTATGTTCCAATAGACAAAGTGAGCTATATAACTTGCACACCTCCAAAGATTTGATAAACTATAAATTGCATGAAAAACTTTTCCTTTCTAAAAAAAGGACATGTTACGTCGATAGAGAATCGAATATAATCGAAATATCATTATCTCTTTTCAACGATGCCGATTGATTCTCTCGCTGCGCTTACTTTGTGAGAGACTGAGATTGCGGAAATCACGCGTTTGATGGTTATGTGTATCGAAGGTTAAGTATATCGATTAATAAATATTATAAAAGGGTTAATAGTAATATTATATAGTGTAATAGTAATATTGTAAAATTATTACAAATTATTGAATAAATTTCTTAATTGTTGGTTCTGTTCATGCATTAATGACTTCTTTTTTCTCTTGAACGTTAAGATTGTTTCAGATAAGTTCATTATTCATTAATATTTTAACCTTTACTCGATATTTTATTATAAAGAACTAATACGTTGTTATTATAAAGAATTAATACGTTATACTTTATGTTGTATTTAATTTGCAATTTTTCTTCCATATTACTGTAACTATTAACAATATTATCTGAGAAAAAATATTGTGGCATTGGATAACAAAAGGAATGGAAAAAAAATAAAAAAAAACACATAAGAAAAAAGTTTTGAAAGAAAGAGAGTTTAAGAAAGGAATGATAAAGGTAAGAGCGAAATAACTAATTGTATGTATAACTATGCATATAACTCAATGGAAATAAATTGAAATCGGATGATTGCAATGACAATACAACAGCATGTTAATGACAGTATTAAAGTAAGAGATTTAAGAAATATGAATTTTGTTATTACATATATTTAGAGGATTTTTTTTTACTATAATAGAAAATTTTCTTTTGTAATAGAAAACGAGATAAGATATTTATAAATATTTGCTCATTTGCAAGACGAAACAGAAAGACGACTAAAGACAAGAAGGAAATGAAAGACAAAAAAGAAATTAATTAAATTTGAAATTATATGTATTAAATATGAAACTATATAGCAGTTAATTAAAAGTAATTAAAGTATAATAACAAAATTAAAATGTACAAAAATTAATTTTGCATATGTTTACTGGTTTTTTCCACCACATAACGAAGGACTTCCTTTTGTAGTAGAAAAAGAAGTGAAATAATTGCAAATATATTTTTTCATCTGCAAGGAGAGAGAGAAAAGGAGTAGGTGGAGAGGCAGAGAGGGTAAAGGGAGGGAGGAAGAGAGAGAGAGAGAGAGAAAGGGAGAGGGGAAGAGAGAGAGAGAGAGAGAGAGAGAGAGAGAGACGTGATGAAGTAATTTTTTCGTAAATAAAAATTTTGTAGTATATAATAGAAGCGCAGTATTATGAGATTCTCTTGAATTTTAATAAAAATGATTTTTAGAAAACTCAAAAGTTGCAAGATGAAAGTAAATAAAATAAATTTTTTAAGTTTAGCTTTATATATAAATTAATTTAGGAACTAATATTTTTGGAAATACATATTTATTTTTGATATTGAATAAATATTGAACCAATGAATATTGAATCATAACGTTGACAAGATATTACCTTAATTATCATCAAACAGTTTTATTACATCTTTTTTATATTTTGCTATGCTGTGATTCAACATTTCTGAAAATTTCATATTAGTGTAACACATTTTGAAACGGTATCTAAAAGTAATTATTGATTGAGGTGCACACACATATACAGGGTGTCCCAATAAAAGGTCAAGGGGTCGATTCTGTATCTTCGAACAAGATGAAAATTATAAAAGCGAGCAAATTTACTAGATGTTGATCAATGAAATAATCAATATTCTAGTAAAGTAGTTCTTCGCTCACTTTTATAATTTTCATCTTATTTCAAGATACAGAATCGATCCTCCGGACATTTAAATATTTCGGAAAATATATATTTTACAGAAAAATATTTTAGATAAAAGTTGTAGGGTTCGAAAAGATCTATTCACTGATCTTATTAGTTCGATTACATCACCTTGGATGACTTCACCAAGATCAGGTCAAGATACATCGATATTTTTAAACGGAACATCCTACTTTTGATTTCAGAATCTAACAGTTGATATCGAAAACTTTTCAAAATGCTATAAGAAAACATTTTTTCATTAAGTACTTTTTGAGTTATAAAACTTGAACTTACAGTTGCCGCTGGCATTTATATCAAGATCATTAGAGATTATTTTCTTTATTTTCATTTTTATATAAAAAAAAATGAAAATAAGAGAAACAATCTCCAATGATCTTGATGTTAACAAATGTTATCCAGAACATGATTCT